ATTGAACTATATTATTGACAAAGGCAACACTCGCCAAGAACCAAAACAAACAACGAAAAACACGTTTTAAAATTACCTTAAAGTCCGGACCGGGGTCTCTTCTTATTTTTACAATCCATTTTTTTCTCCTATTAGGTTCTGGGGGGATTTGATGAAAGGAAAGCTCCGGGTTTCTCCTTTTATCCCCGGAGCATTCAGGTACACAACAGTGTTCAGCCGCCATCTTGAATTTCCGAAGCGGGAATAGCCTCGTTCTCATGCTGCTCATTAATATGCGCATAAATATTAAGAAGGATGCATATTAGTCTTTTTGCAATATATCGTCATTCCATTGAACAGTATTGGAGGAACAGTATATCTCACTGCATAAGCTAGGACTTTATCATTTGAGGTATTAAGTTATGATGATCATAATAATAATAATAATAATAATAATAATAATATATAAGTTAATTAATAAGTTAATTATTAATTTATGTCATATTATGTGATAGTTCAAAAACTCATGAATAATTCATAAGCCTTTGGTCCAGTTGGAGCCAGCATACACGTCACATGCATGGACCTTTATACCCATCAAAGTCCTCTTGAAACTTTATATAAAGACTCATCCTTATTAGTATTCTTTATATAAAGAATACTAGTGTGGAGTCAACCTTATCAGAATAAAGGTGCATCCAAGTTTAGATGAAGATTTAGAGCCTCATCAAGGTCAGTCTCGCGTACAGTCATCGACGACCCATAAATTATCGTCGTCTAGTGCCCCTGTCTTGATTTTGGCATGTTGTCTTCAATTTGTGGGAGCCTTTTTTGCACTTACTGCGCATGGCAGTGACGTGCAAACCTCACTGCGCATGAAATTGCTGTACAAAATAACGACTATCAAAGTATAAAAGTCAATGTTCGCGAGGTATATGGTGGCTCTACTTTAACTGAAAGGTTCGTGAATTATACTTAAAGTTTTTGAAGCTGTTTAATAAACTCGCAGATTGTGTTTTATCGGGTCTAAAACCACTCGGCTACCTCTCGTTGTTTTAAACCCGATAAAACACTCCTGCTCATTTATTAACGAAACACGAGTTACTTAAAGTTCATATATTTTTTATTTAATGTAAGTTATGGATTTTAGAATTATTCCAATACACATTGACTATTTAAAGAAAATGTGCAATGTTATTATTAAATACTATTATTATTATTATTATTATTATTATTATTATTATTATTATTATTGTATACATGATCTAATGGGTTTGCATAGTGCATCTAATGAAGCATATTAATTTCGTTATAGGTATAGTACTAAAATATTAACTTTTGGTTTTTTGGATCTTAAAATAAAAGGTTATTGTGTGGTGATCAATGACTGTCTCTGTTAAAATAGGGGTTTTGCATCATCACCTGGCCATGCCCATAATACAGCTTGGGCTGCCTGTGTTAATTAGATGGCAGAACAATATAACCCCTTTGCTCTTGAGAATTGAATTCTTTCATTAACTAATATCTAACCTGATAATGTTTGGCCTGTATTGGAAGTTGAGTGAAATCTTTGCTTGCAGTTGACCTGAGTCTGACTTTCATGAACTATAAATGAGGTATAATCAAGCTTGGCCTGTGATTTTCTTGCGGTTTTCAACCACATGACTGTAAATCACTCAAGATATAAATGACAATTAAACTGCCATATTGGTTGTTATTTCAAGACAAGCTAATGAGGAATGCTTTGTTATCGTCTACCAACATGGCAGCATGCAGTGCCAAGCATGCAGCACCCCAAGAAGATGTTATCAATGTGACTAGAAATCCCTTGAGATATAAATAACAATTTATTAAACAGCCTGACCACGTTGGTTCGATCTATTAAACGAAAGTAAGCTAATTAATGAGGAACGCTTTTTTTTAAATTATCAACGCATGCATGTGATGGCAGCTGTACGTGTACTGATGCACCCCAAGAATACAACTGGCAGACGTACAACATGTACTTCTTGTGGAATGCCTGATACATTAATTAATCACATAAAGAGAATCATAACTATGAACAATGTACTATGAGTAGAGAGAATGAGTATAGTGCAAGCCATATATCTCTGAAATCTCACACTAACTAAATAGTACTAAATAGTCTTAAAACACATCTATTTGTATGATTATGATATTTATATAGCGCTCTTTTCCATATGGATATGTTCAAAGGCACTTTACAAATGATTTATGAATGAGAGATGGTTAGTATGAGGTGTAGACACTGAGGGTGGTCACTGCCAGGGTTTCTTTACGTCCTCAGTGGTTCTTTTACGTCCCTCGGACCGCCATTCAAAGTGGTCATCCGAGCCACTTGAAAGTCTATAACCATTTGCAGATGTAATTACAAAGGCAGCACTTTCTCCTTAATTATTTTTAGACCCTGAGTGTTGGTCCGGCCGGGACTCGAACCACGACCTCCCGCACAAAAGTCTGATTCCCAACTAATATATGGTGTCAGTGGGGCAATAGACCTCAGCTCGAGCATAATGTTGTCCCATTTCAGACCACGTGTCATTCAAATTCCCTTGAGATTAATATTCGTTTGAGTCATATCCATGTGTCTTCTCATGTGCAACCGAGCACAAACCTTAAACAAAGAAATGATACTCTAGGGAATGACGTGGTCTGAAATGGGAAAACATTACGTCAAAGCCGACGCAGGTCTATTGTTGCTCAGATCAATAATGAAACTGTTCCATCAAAATATTCAAAGTTTATTTAAATTTAATTTTTATCTTTATGTAGAGCTGTTCAACTTTTTCCACGAGGTGATTTAAATTCGAAATTTGCAACCGTTAATCATACGACAGGACACAATATTATTTTTGATCTATCAGAAAATAAATAAAACTATTCTAATCTTACATACGATAGAGTGCTTACACTAAATCCGTGAAACAAATACTAATTTTTAGCACCAAATAGTGATAATTAAACAATAGAAAACAAAGGATTCTGTATGAAATAGTACTAATTAGTACTATTTAATGTTCACGGTTTTAGTGCGTGCACTCTAACATTACAACTTTGATACTTTTCTTTATATAATACATTTATTGTGTTTAGAACATAATACATCTTTGGTGCAGAAAGTGAACCGTCTTATCAAAAGTAAACATATGAAATAATCAAGATTTAGGTATATTTTTAGTCATATATTTTTAAATTAATTTATCTGTTAAATTGTTTTTGGTTGATTTGTTGTTTTTTTTTTAATGTGGTAAAACAACATAAAGTAATAGTTATTTCCTTTCATGTGAGTTACATGCCCGAATTAAACAATGGCAGCAACTCAAGGTTGGACTTGTTGCTAAAGTATATATATATCAAGGAAAAATTATATTACATGTATTTTGGAAATCCCTTATATTTGCGCTTTGATATTTTTAATGTTTATATCTCCTATTGTAAAAGAAAATTCCACATACAAAAATACTGCACCATACTATTCAAAAAAATTTTAATCCTTGATACTTACACTTTTATTTTTAATAATTATGTAAATACATCAAGTCCAGCTGTATACTTTGTGCCATTGTTTCAGGAATGAATTATAATAATTGTAATGTGATTAAATGTAAAATAAATATCACATTAAATTGTTACCATAATGCTATTGAGCTACAGGCTAGGTGATGCTTTATATTAAAGAGTGGGAATAATTAATGTAATGATAAAAATCTACAATTAAGTTTGAATTAAGGATTAAGTAACAGAAACAATGGACTACTTCGATGATGCCATAGCCATCTTGAATCATTAAGAGTCATCCAGGGGGCAAATAAACAAATCTTTGTTAACATAGTGGCATCGTTTGACATTTAGGGGCTGTTCATTAATTATGCCTCAGGGTGGGCTGGAGGAAAAATCGAAAAAAACCTTGGAAAAATTTACAACCCCCCCCCCCC